ATTCTTCAAACTCTCGAGTATAATTATAAGAGAGAATGTAGTCGGAAGCGTGCATGAAAACTTCTTTCTTTTCATAGAACAAACACATGCCTTTAAGACACCGCTTAGTAGTAGTATCAAGTATACAAAATAAGGTTTGGCGTTAGGGATAAGACACTTAAGGAGCAGCTGCCTCAACCCAAATTTCCTAGCCACCAAGTTATGTTAGTAAGAAGCCACCCTCAATCTTACCGTTACAATGGTAAGCCTCATCCATAAAAGGGTAGGATTAAAGCAAGTAAATAAAACCTTATTGATCTCATCTTGCTCTCGTTTGGACGAGTTGAGATAAGGTTTCCTAAACCATTATGAACCATACTGTCGACCAGCGAATGAAGCCATCAACTTAGTAAAAGTTTTACACTAGTAAAACATCTGTAAATATTCTTTAAAGATCTTTAGTGAGGTAACCTTCCCATCTTTCGAGGTAAGCCTAACTAGCCGAGGACCTTTGATCCTCGCCCTCAGGTTAGGAGGAACTCTGAACTTTAGAGAAGCTTCAAAGTGACAGTTAGCCATAATTACATAAGCCGAATAGGTCCACCTATTTGTAGGCTATTAGGGTTTTCTGGTCTTACCATATCAGAGACATCCAAAGCCAGAGATTTGTAAAGTCCCACGAGAATCAGCTGGCTCATACATATTTTCCTACCTTCATATAGCTGGGTTTCAAGGGGAACATATTTTTTGGCCACCTGAACAGATCAAGCAAAACACACACCTCAACAACCAGTAAGTGAGGAATGTGATATGTTCGTGCATAAAAGTGTCTGGGGTTGCCCTTCAACGATCCACTATAAAAGAGTTGTAATCCGGTCAAAAGAAGGAGAAGGAAGGCTCAGTTCTAGTAGCCCTTGCAGGATCGAAGTCCATCCCAGTTGGACGATGGCCAACTATTACAACTAGATCGAAGAAAATGGGAGTTATCATCCCACATGATAGTTGAAAAGTGTTGGTAGAAGTATCCCGAAAACACATGGAAACGATTAACATGTGAGGATTGTAAGAGAGACTCACCCTGGATAGATAAATTAAATCATAAATCCTTAAATATGTCCAGTAGTGTGCGCTCTTCCTCTTAATCATATCCAACCACTTAATGTACTCAACGTCTTCCATGGGTGGAGAAGAATAGAAGACTTGGTTCTTGAAGAAATTAAACTTTGGAGGTTCATCAATAAATACAATAGTTCATACCCACGATATATATGGAAATAATCCTGTAGTAGCTGGGGTTTCTTGATATACTTTGGCAAGGGGCCCATAAATGCATACGATTTACCAATAAGCACGTAGGAGAGGAAGGCAGAGCGGTACCATATTTTTTGCGTTTCGTTTCCAAGGGAGGCTCCAGTACATAGGCGTGCTCGTCTATAATGATAGGGAGATTAATCTCAGCTGTGAAACCCGGATGACATTATACTAGAAACACCATTTGAGGAAATGGGTTTCACTTATTTAAGGTGGGAGAAAGAAGTAAACTAGGGTTTTATGATTCTGTAAGGCAAGTTGCAGAAACAAGAAGGTAGGAAATGTTCGAATAAACACATCTAAATATCAGACAAAGAAACAATTCAGTTTTTCCCGAGAAAATATCGGCCACGTGGCGGTTGATTCAACAAATGGCATATAAAAGCCATGGGGAACACAAATGGAAGTTAGAATATCTCCAATTCACTTAGTCTTCTTAGGGAATAGGAGATAATCATAATGAATCTACATGCACGTCTGTGACATGTGTATTAAAATTAGTCATAATGACTGATAACAATCATGATTGTGATGGCGTGGCACAAAATGCAAACAATGTTGAAATAGTTAGAAACAATGTCATTTTTCTCCCCTTAGATACGACTCAACAATGACATATTTTTGGGGGCATTTGTTACACTTGGATTTTTAGCTACTAGAAAGTCAACAAAAAATGTTAATGAAAAAATGTTTACTATGAGCATTAATGAAGTATCTTTAAATAATCATTAAATAGGGAGGCATCGACAAACCAACAATGAGGGGTTGATGAGCCGTCGACGCAACATGACATGATTTGAAGGACTCTCAGGGATAAATCTTTAAGACTTGACTCACTGAGAAATGAGTCTAAAATTTCGTAAAGGACCATCGATAAAAACATGTCCAGAATCTCGAGAAGGACATTCGACAAAAGCCCTCATTCCAAAAAGGACCAGCCGACTGAACGACTTAGTATAAAAGACTTAATAAATTGACAATTCATAGGGGCCTTGATAAGCCTCATTGACGACACGTTAGGGAAGTTATCATCTAAGGTTCATGAAGAAGTGGACAACAGTTACAACTCAATGTGTGTTGTAAGCAGATAGTGTCTTGGAAGACACGTAAACACGTTAGTGGGAACTTGAAGGATTTAACATGGAGCAAACGCAACAGTCCCTCAATGGTCATAACCGTCTTCGACAGCTACTTTTTAAATAGAATAAATAGCAGACTCATATATGGGATCGAGGTTGTAAAATTTCATATATACTTTCCATACCACTGGAGTACCTGAGTCAAAGAGCGAAACAGTTGAGCAAGAAATACGTATGCGTCTGTGTCCACACTTTTTCTTAGTCTTTTTGCTTCCTTAAACAGAAATTGTACTTTTTCTTTAGCTTTATTTAATGTTATTTACCGCATTTCACCTTATCATTGATCACAACTTAACTTCATTTAAAGTCTTTTGCTACACTACATTAAATTCACACGCACGTGTGTTCACACAAATTATTTGCACAAATTGCTTTGGAGATTTTTCGAGCTAATCTCATAGACTTTCAAACTCGTGATTATTTACCAAAAACACCGGTAAACAAGTATACACATGTTTCTTAATTTAAGTCTTATTGCTATTATTTTTCGACTCCATTTTTATTCTGAACCCATAGGAATGACCGACCAATCCAGTGGGTTGTTAACCGTGATACAGGAAAAATCTATGGTCGCTTCGATATTCATAGTGAATAGGGTTCCCACCACTTCTGCAACCATCCAACCATAATTTCTCGCATCAAACGTCTTCACCAATGTCACACACCTTTGAAATGTCTCGTCAATTTTAAAATGATCATTGAGATTGACCCAAGAAACTACATCCGGTATACCCATATGTTCCACGTGGGTATTAATTTCAGCATCACCGGGTTTACAGTTGTAGATTGTCCTGTAAAATTGAACGAAATCCTGACCTCATTCTCTCATCGACTTAGCACCTTGTGTTTATGCATAAGGAAAAATAAGAGGAGGCATAAGAACTTCAGTGTGACCCTCATCCTCGTCAACATCTGACAAGAGAGCGACAAAAAAATATAGGGAAAAAGTTATCTCATCAAGGAAGTTCTCATATACCCTTTCTGAATTATAAGTGTCGATCAAAGATATAACTATGTGGCCATGCGATAATGAGCAATGGGAGAAGGATTTGAATTACGGGATGTTCATATTCTCGCGATATAGGAAGTATCACACGCATAATCACTAACTATGCGAATAGAGTTATCACTCATCTTGACTAGCGAACAAAAAATGGTGAAGGTAAACGCATATGTTGAGAAGGGTACTTAGTAAGGCAAATTTGACGAAGCAAATGTAATGAAAAAAGGAGAGGCCTTAAGGAAATAGCTGCAACTATTCTAGAAAGTACTATTATGAAAGAAAAGAATAATACACTTACTAACAAGAAATATTTGGAAATGAAAGCTGAATTTCAAGGATTGCAAAAAGTTCCCTTTGTGCTCAACCACCCTATATACAAGCCAAGATGATCAAATGAACCAGATCATCAGCAAAGGGAAGTTATAAAAATAACGACTATATTTTTCTTGGGAAGCGTAAATAGTCTCGAGTGACTATAGGCAACACCATTCCCTAACTAGTCGCTTCAGCCCATATTTAGAAAGAAGCAAAAAAATGTTTCAGTGATGGAAGCACATTTAATGCGCCCGTTCCCACTACTTTTTCAACTGACTCGAAGTGTTTCACTTCTAGTTCGAAGTAGACAACACCTTTGGAGGCCGACCATGACCGCTAAAGACTTTCTCAGCTCTCTAAGCGCCTGACAAACCTTAGGGGCAACTATTCTAGACCGGCCAAATGCCAAAATCAATGTAAATCCACTCCACATGCCCCAAGATATAAAAGTCATCTCACATAAACGCAAGGTACACTATTCTAATTTCCACTTTTCATTAGACTCGTCTTGAATCTTGAAATTATTTGGGTATAAGAGTGCTAACCTTATAGGTCCACCCCTACGTCACTAGATCGAAGATCAAGACCATTAGTTCTAGATTTCTCGCCACTTCAATTATTTTAGGTACCAAGACGAAACAAATATAACAATATATTTGTTAAAACCATCATTTGTTCTAGTACAAAACACCACTTACTAGGATTTTTCACATTAAAGCTTAGTCAGAACACTAAATCAAACCATGATAAAAGATTCTTTGAATTAAACTGGATAATTTTAATTTATTCAAAATCAAACCGAACCAAAACTATTGATTTGATATACCCGTTCAAAATTCTGAACCGTACTAAACTGTTTGGAAATAATTTTATCAAATCCAATCATTTAATAAAGAATGTACCGCTGTACTTTTTCTTAAATAAAAAATTTTAAACTTGTTTTTAACATTTTTCATTTTAATTGATTTTAGTTTTAGTTCGATTTATTTATTATTTGATTTAATTTTAAAACTACAATATAATTCAATTCACTAATTAAATACAACAATTCAATTATTTTAACTTCATTCAATTATAAGTCTGGTCAATTATGCACTAGTTACACTTAAATAGTTGATTAATAAATGTATTAAAAGTTGTATTATTTGATGGGCCTTTACTGTTGTTGAAAAAGAAGCCCAATCCGAGTTGTACGAAAATACTAACCGAGGAGGAACCCATTAACTTTGTTGGTATCTCAAGCACCAAAAACAATGCAAATGCAACAAACTCAGCAAGCCACCGCGGCAACTATCTCAACGCCCACTTCTCCTCCCTCTTCCCCCGGTGGCCCCACGGCCGAGGCACCGCCGAAGCAAGTTGCCGTAGCAATGGACAAACTCGGAGAAGCCGAAAGAATCATCGCCGACATCAGAATTGGCGCCGATCGCCTCCTTGAAGCTCTTTTCATTTCCGCCGGTCAGCCTCACCAAGGCAGCAAGCCTTTACAAGTGTTCCTCAAAGAAAATGCTTGCATGCAACAGCATTTTCAAGAGCTTCGATCACTAGGTATGAAATTTACAGTTCTCTTACGTTTTGATCGATTTTCGGTTCCGCGATTAGGGTTTTAGTATCTTCGGTGTCAATTTTTGCTTAAATATTGCTCTATTCATTGTTTTTCGATTTACTAGGGAAGGAGCTTGAAGAAGCTGGAGTTCTCAGTGAATCTGCTCGAACGCGGAAGGATTTTTGGGGTCTGCACATGCCGCTGGTTTGCCCAGACGGCGCAGTCGTAGCTTATGCGTGGAAACGGCAACTCGCCGGTCAGGCTGGTGCTTCTGCCGTTGACAGGACAAGGTTTAATTCGGTTCTTTTGGATTTGTGACTCTGTGTTAGCTTATACTTTTCCCTTTTGTAGTTGGTTCATTTTGATGAATGTTGAGAAAGGAATCCGAATTAATTATACTAAATATAAGACAGTGAAATGTTCTTAAATATTCGATATCATATCACGCCGTCATACCAAAATGTTGTCAAATTATGCGGCACCATAGCACTATTGCGTAGCAGAATTTTAACAATCCGTAATTTTCCCATTTTGGCAATTGACAGGACTTCAGTGTAGTGAATGATGGAATCAAGCGATTTTTTCCCTTCTGAAGATTTATGTAATTAAGGTTCCTTTTTTATACATGAATATGATTGATCTTACTTAGGCTTCTGAATGATTTCAGGTTAGCTCTCAAAGCTTTTACTGATCAGAAAAAACGGTTTTTCCCCCATCTTGAAGATGGAATTGAAACTAATGAATCAGCTTCGAAGAAACAATGTGGGTCTGAAGAAGTTGTGTTTGAACCTAAGGAAGACATGAGTTTTCTGAGGTTGCTACCAGATGTTCTGAAGTCAGTGGAAAAGGAAGTGCCAAATGTGAAAATTTCAACTTTTGAACGTCTGGACTGGTTAAAAAGAGCTTCCACACTCGCCTCTGTAACTAATGAGAGTTCTCAAGAACAGAACTATCATGGTTCTAATAAGCCAAGGCTAGGATCAATTGGAATAGTTGATCCAGAGAAGGTTGCCGTGATAGAATTGTTGTCTTCTAACTTCAGAGCTATTATATCCTTGCATCCTGCTGGGTCCGCTAATGCTGATGCTGTGGCTTTCTTTTCTCCCGACGAGGTATACCAGCCAATATCAATATGATATTTATCATCGTTACTCTCATAATAATCATTATATAATTATATGATTGTTGGCACATTATGAATATTATAAATAGTGACTTGGCCAGTGTGGTTAAAATACCGGTATAGTGCTGCTATGCCGCTATTAGGCATCGAAATTTGGGGTAGTCGATACGATATGTCAACTCCGCAATTTGTAGTACATATTAGTTATACCGATACATAATTAATAGCGGAGTTGTGTGTTTTAGTGGTGGCCAAACACTTACAACATTAATCAATTACAAAACCTCAAGTGGCGACCATACTTTTTAAAACATTAAAAAAATTAAAAAAACTACAAAATATGAAGTAGTGTGTTGGTTAGTGGTATTAAATATCTCAGAATTTGGGTTGGGTCTAACTCATCCCTACAAAACTGGCTTGTAGGGTGAGGATTGCCTCCACTTATGAACACAAACATGGACCATATCTCTAAGCAATGTGGGACTAAATCCACTCTTTCAAAACCAACACCTAAAGGTGTTGGGGTTGCAATTAAGGCAAGTCAAAGTGCCGCAATTAAGGCGACTAGGGGCGGACCGCAATTAAGGCGGAAAGTCCAACAAAATATAATAGCTACAACTACAACAACAACATAGCCTTATATCATTAAGTGGGGTTGACTACATTGATCAAATTCCGCCATAATGTTCTATCCAATACCATGTTCCTATTCAATTCGTTAATCGCCAGATTTTTCTTAATTGTTTCTCTTATAGTTTTTCTAGATCTTCCTTTACCTCTACTTGTTTGACTTCTCTACATCTGTTTGACATTTCTCCATCTATTTGACATCTCTCCATCTGATTTACTCTTCTGATAATAGAATCTACATGTCTTATCTCTGCATGTCCAAACTATCTAAATCTATTTTCCACCATTTTTTCTATTATAGGTGCTACTCCAACACACTCTAATATTGTCATTTCTATTGTTATCTCGTCTAGACTTACCACCACACATCCAAAGCAACATCTTCATCTCTGCAGCACTTACTTTATTCTCATGTTGATTTTTAACCGCTCAACATTCTGACCCGTATAATATTGTATGTCTTATTGCTGTCCGATAAATTTTTTCCTTCAGTTTGAGCAGTAGTTTTGTGTCGTGAAAAATTTATGAGGCCTTCCTCCATTTCAACCACACAATATGAATTTGATGGTTTACATCTCCTCACTACCTTTACCTAGGCAAAGACACAACTAAGACACAACTCACCACATCATTAAAGAAGGTAACAACTATGTTCTTCACTTTGTTCCTTCATCTGTTTCACGCAATGTATGCAACTATCCGTCTTGCTTTATTTGCTATTTGAAATATTAAGACTTGTGAGATTTATAAGCATTTCTGTCTGTTACTTTATCAATTTATGTTTATGCATCTTTTATTTGCGTGCAATATGCTTTATTTTATACACATTTATTTATATTTCAACTGCCTTGCGATTTGTTCTATTTTTCTTACTGAATATCTGGCATTCCTCTATTTTCTGCAATCTGCTATAGAGGTGCTTCTTTTTGGAAAAAGCTTCTTGTTTGGTATAGCGAGATAGACAGAGTTTACCAATCACTTTGAAGCATTTTAAAGGGTTTGGTAGAAATGAGGAGACTGATTTTTAGTTCTTGGATGTGATCCAGTCTTCATTATTTTACTTGGAGTAGAATATTCACATTTTTTATTTTACTCGGAGTATGGGTGTTCACATTTTTAATCAAGTCTTTTCCCTGGTAGCGCTTTATGTTGGGATAGGATTGTGGATCTTGTGATTTTTATAGTTCTCAGGTTCTCTACTAATGGCTGTCTGAAGGGAGTGTTTACGTTGCTGATTTGCAGAGACTATACAGTGGTTCCATATTTGTTTTCATTCTTTCACTTTGCTTTCTCCTTGTTCTGAGGGATATCTTATTTCCTTGTATTTATGATTTATACTATCTCTAATATAACTTAATAATAAAAAGACTTCGATTTTTTCATTTCTTATTTCATTGTAAATTTGCTTGAATTTTACATCTATCTACTCCACATTATAATAATTTTGTAGTACCTCAGGCTCATTTCATTATGTTTAACAGTGTACTGCTTTAACAGAATGGAAGCTATGTGCATGCAAGGGGAATTTCAGTTAATCATGTGTATGAACATATTACGGTAACAATTTCTGTGGCTAACTACTTATTTCCCATGATCTTTTAAGTGGCTGTTTGAAGTGTTCTTATCATAGTTATTTATTTATTTATTTTTTATCTTCCACTGAAGGAGTACGCAACAATAGCTCTGCAGTATTTTCTTGGCAACCAAGCTGAAACATCGCTGTATTCTCTTTTGGTACTGAAGTTATCCTTCTTTTTCATATCATTACACTTATTTGTGAAAAAAGTTATTCTTGACATACTCATTATTTCTTCGCTTTCTGTTTTTTTTCTTTCTGTAGCACTGGATTTGTAGTTACCAGAGCGTGTTATCAAGACCATGCAGGTACAATTTGCAGTTTCCAGATCAATAAATTTCAATATCATTTGGTGGAGTTACTAATCTCATTTTTTTTGTGTGTACAGAAAATGTTCAAAGCTACTTGCCATGGATAAACAATCAAATTTGTTGTTACTTCCAGTTCACCGGCCCTACTGGAAGTTTTCCCTTTCAAAAATTTTGTCAGCTATATCTTCAAAGGACCAGCATTCAGATACTACTATGGCCTATCATATTGGCTGCCTCTCTGAGGAAGTATGATTACACTGACCATTTTAATATAGGTAAGTCGAGCAATCTTCATTTTATTGTTATTACCTTTGTTATGCCAACACCTCATGTTGAAGTCGTATCCATGTTGCTGGCAAATGTCCGAGACCAAATTCGTACGGCACTAATAATTGTTATTACATTCAATCATTTTCATTTTCTCAAACTACTATTGATGTCTATGTTTTATTGTCAATGTTGTGTCAGTGTTTTGTAAATAGTTCCCCTCGACCTCTTGGAATGATTTATCTTACATTCGTTTTTAGTGTTAATAGTTCCCCTCTTGCAATTAGATGTCTTATATTTGTTTTTAGTGTTTCGTAAACAGTTCCGCTCCTTGAATGATTTGTCTTATATTTGTTTTTGTTTGTTATTTCTCTGTATCTTCAGGAAAGGAAACAAAAGAGCACATGGTCTGTTGTGAAAGATTGATTTTTTGGATGCTGGAAAGTGAACCTCACCTTATCATTGATCATTGCATGCCACATGACAAAACTATAAGAACATCATGAGCTTTATGTTTGCTAGATGGAAATGCCAGCTGATGGTAATTTTTAAAGAATCTGTCAGCATGTGAAACACTATTGTGACATAACCATGTTTCTTATTTTAGAATGATGCTCCATACACATCTCTATCTTCTCTGTAACTTCCAACCATGTATAATAATACTAGAGAATAGTTGAAGGGGTCCAACAGAGAATCTGAGATTGAGTTGAGGCACATGTAAAGCTAAAAGATAGTGTTGCGCTGTTATTGAAAGCTGCATTTGTGGTCCTGTTAATGTAACTAGTCTGATTCTGATGGTGGATGGTGTACGTAACCTCTAAAATAGCAGCAATACATTTTTCGAAAACTGCTAAATGTTGTGAATGCAGTAAATTTTCAAGTGAAAACAATCAATGGCACTCTGTTTCAAAGCGTACAGAACAGAGTATAAAAAAATCAATAGCATTCTGTTTCCTTGGAAAGGACTTTTTACTGCTAGCTTAAAATCCTAACTTGAACTTTCTGTTTGAATACTGACGACTAGTTTCGTCATGTTTATACGAATAAAAAGTGATTAATATCCCTATAATCACGAGCTTCTTTAAACTTTCTGTCCATTTTGACTTGTTCATAAGTTTTCAGTAATGTTACGCCACTAATTATCTTTACCGGGATACATGGGAAACAGCTGGTCACTTGTATAGAATAACGAGAAATTGGTTTCCTCTTAATTTAATAGCGATCTTGACTCTTAATCAATCTCTTAATCCTTAAAATTAATAAACTAATTAATAATTTAGTTAGTTGGTCTATCACACCATGAATACGCACAAGAATTTTCCGACAAGCATGATCACGGGTTAATGAGCCAGCTGTCAAAATGTGGGGTACAAGGTTATTTATTGATTGAGCAATTATTTGATGAGGTGGAAATGAAATATAGATGATTGTACGAATTGAGTTTCATAATTAGCATTTGGAGGACTCATAGGTGTCAATTTAATATCCTAATAAAAACGAACAAGTACCGTGCCACACCACATCGTCACTCCTGTTTATGTTTGCGAGGGAAGTTATGTTATAGTTATAGTTATAGTGCCAAGTGATAGGCAGAAAATAATCCTCTTGATTTGACACCTTCCTTTATGCCATGTGGAAATTAATCAGTAATCCAAATTAGTCCCAGAGATGTAGGCTCCACTAATCACTTATTGGACAATCACTCAATATCGCTGTCGACATGATATGTGAGACACGTCAGCTTATAGAGTGTATTAGTAAGATTTATCAAATTTAATGTTAATTATAAACAGCTTATAATGTGATTGTGACGTGAGACCAAAGTTAGTGTTATTACTGGTGAACACGATCGATAGTGCTGAGCTCATTGTAATAATTTCAGTAAACAATGTGTTATTGTCTTTCAAAAGTTTACTAGCGTTTGATAGTGAAACTCTGACCATAATGGATGTTTTATATTCAAGATCTTCTGGTAATCAAACAAAACATAATAGAATTTAAAAAACATTTCCAACAACAATAATAGACTAAATAGTAGAAAAGTATAACGTATAAAACTTCAGTGTTTAAATTTTTAATAGCTTTTTTCTTAGTAAAACCATTGAATGGATTTATATTCAATGTATTAGATTTTTTTGTAAACCACCAACAGCTAAGGTTTGATCCTTCAATTTATTGTATTTTAAGGATTGGTCTTTTCCAATTCTATAATCTATGCTAAAAATATATAACAAATATAATTTTTGTTGCCTCTATTTTCCAGCAAACAGATGTGACATTGTAACTGTATACTTTGGGACCTAGTTCATTCACCAACAAAACAACATTTTCATGAACCTTATAAATGCAGAATTGACATTTTCAATGCAGTATGTTGTGCATTCACCAACAAAACACAATATTCATCAATAACCAAACAACCTATGATAATCAACGTTGAGACATAAATGAATGAACAAATTACAAGCATTCTCATTGACTGTTTCTTCACTATCTACAACCATAACATAGTAGAAAATACAAAAGCATACACATAAGATTTCAATTTTTTTAGACAGAAAGAGCATAGCATGGTATCTACACCTAATAATAAATAAAATAACAGCATTCAACAAAGCAATAAGCAAACCATTTTGTTTCACCGGCCGTCCGCCGAAGTAAAAGAATCTGCAAATCCAGTAGGTCTCGCGGGGATACTACTCTTACTGTCTTCTAAGTCCATATAACTCGTGTCTTTTCCTTCCGCCTCCTGCCAACCCTTCACCATTTGGTTAAGCGGAAGACTGTAGTCGATGCCGGAATACTCGTCGGGGTCGTCGTCAAACGGTTTCCATTTTTCAACAAGCGGTGCAAGGACGTTGACAGCATGCCCCATTTCTGGCCTCTGGTTTGGTTCTCTAGCTGTGCAGTGTCCGGCTAGCTCAGCTATAATTGAAACGCTCTCGAATGTTTCTTCGTTTATGTCGAGAGTTGGGTCAATAGCAGCCATTAGTTTCTTCTTATCTGATTTTATATTCCAGAACCATGCTGCCAAGTATTGGCTTTCCTCGGGTCTATCCTCGTCAAGTGCCATCAATCCAGACAACAGCTCCATTAACACAACACCGAAACTGAAAACATCTACTTTGGTTGTGATTTTTCCTGTCACTGAGTATATTTAACAAAAAAAGTGAGGATTAGTAATAAAATTTATAGGTTTTCTTGATATTTGTAAATAACCTGAAAAAAATTATCACCTGCATATTCAGGAGCCAAGTACCCAAAGGTCCCAGCAAGTTTGGTCACTACTGATTTTTCGCCATTAGGAGCAAGTTTTACCAATCCAAAATCCGAGACTTTAGCTCTAAAATCATCGGCAAGTAAAATATTTGAGGACTTAAGATCCCTATGAATGAAGCTCTGTTGAGCCAGAGTATGAAGATACTCCATTCCTCTAGCAACATCCAAGGCAATGTTGAGCCTCCTCTTCCACGAGAGAGGCTCGAGTCCAAGGCTTTTCCAATGGAAAAGATGGTGGCTGAGAGCACCTTGCGGCATATACTCATATACTAGAATCCTCTCGTTACCTTCGATGGAATAACCTATAAGGGCCACTAGATGTCGATGTCGAACTTTCGACAGAACTGCGATTTCAGCCTGAAATTCATCCAATGCTTTATTGGTTATCACACCTGCTTCCATTCTTTTTACTGCAATCTTGGTACCGTCATCCAACTCTCCCTTATAAACAACTCCGAATCCACCACGGCCGAGTTCATTCTCAGGGGCGAAATTCTTTGTCACGTTTCTTAGAACTTGAACCGATATCACAAGATTTCCAGCTTCAATGACATGAGACTCCCCAAACGCGCTGCTGTTTCTACTACCAGTCCCACTCCCTGTCAAAGTGGAAACACTTCCGTTGGTATTATTAACAACAGCTATCTTTACAGCACTGTCCGAATCAGACGGATCTCTCGGGTGAACCACGAGTGAACTTGGAGCCTGAAATCCATCCTTTGTCCTCCTAAAACAATACGCATATAGCGGAATCAACAGAAAAGCAGCAGCCGCAACACCAGCAATGGGAGCTACAATCAAAACCAAGCTTTTCCTTTTGGACTTTTTCGGTTCAACCGAATCACCTGAACTTGAGTTTGACTCTCCCTTCGTACCTTCATCTTTATTCCCCGATCCACCCGATGGACTGTTTTTCCCCGAGGAAGGACCTTCAGGCCCACCACCATTCAACAAAGAATTCCCATCAACCATAGGTTTTAATCCATTTCTAAAAACCGGCAAAGGCGGAGAAATATTATTATCACTCAGATCCAACAATTTCAGATTCATCAAACTAGTCCAATTACTAGGCACCACGCCATCGATATGATTACCCCCCAATCTGATTTCAACCAAAGAACCTAAATTTGCCACAGAAGGACTCAAACTACCACTAAGATTAAAACGTGGCAAATTAATCATCGAAACTTTACCATCCACATTGCATTTTATCCCCAACCATGGTCCTTCACAAGGGCTATTCCCACTCCATGAATCAACTAAATTTGAAGGATAATTCAACCCACCCAAAAACCCTAAAAGAGCCATAACTTCAAAAGAACAAGCAACACCAGTTTCATTCAAACAAAAATCATTGTTACTAAAACTAACTTTCAAAGCTTTAAAATTTGGGATTGGACCCATAAACCTGTTATTATTCAAATCAAGACTATCCAATTCCATATCCCCTAAAGAACTAGGAACAAGCCCAACAAGATCATTGCCATTGAGATTAAGCTCCTTAAGAGAAACCAAGTCCCCGATATTCTCCGGAATCGAACCGGTGAATCGGTTTCCATGAAGCCATAAACTAGTTAAAGAAGCCATAGTACAAACAACATCAATACTCCCAGAAAGTGACTCACCCTCACCCTTCTGGTTATTCAACCAAAGAGTCTGCAAACCAGAACCATTAAGACTCAACGGAATCTCACCCTTTAATCTGTTACCAGAAAGCTTCAAAAACGAAAGAGAGTTCATTTTCCCAAGAAAATCCGGCAAAGAACCAACCAAATTACAGCTCATACAAGAAAGAGTTGTCAACTGTGGTGAATCCTGCAAAGAGGAAGGAAATTGCCAACCATTAGTAGAAACATTGAGGTTATTTTTATCCAATGCGAGAGTTTCCAAACTCGGTAACCCTTGGAAGAAATCGTTTGGGATGGAATCGAATTCGTTGTTGTCGAAGAAAGCGTATTTGAGATTTGTTAAGCCTTTTAGCGACGGTAGAGGACCGTGGAGTTTGTTGTTCTGGAGACCTATGTTGAAGAGTTCGGTGAGTTCGTTGAGGTTTTGAGGTAAGGTGCCGGAGAGATTGAGGTTTTTGGTTTGAATCTGAGTGACTCTGTCGTTTTGGCAGAAGATGAATTTCCAAGATGGAGTGGAACACGGGTCGTTGTCGGGAGATTGTTTTGGCCATTGTAGGAGTTCCGGGTTGTCGAGGTTGTTTCTAAATTGGTTGAGGATTTTGATGTCGTTTGGGTGGGTGGTTGTGAGGACAAGAGAAGGTAGAAGGAGGAGGAGGAGAAGTGTTGTTGTGTGGCGGTTCATGGTGGTTGTTGTGGTTGTGATAGTGGTGGTGGTGGTTCATTTGAGAGAGTGAAGAGGAAGAAGAAGAGGAAGAAAAAGAAAGAGTGTTTGATGAAATGGGAGAGGACAAGAAGAACAACGCATTGTTGAGTGTGAGAAGAAAAAAAGATAAAAGAGAGTAAAAAATGAATGAGGTTAGGTTTTGGAGAATGAATGAAAAAATGGGTAAGGGTAATGATGGACCTAACAAGTTATTTACTATTGCTTGCTACATGTATCTATATTCTTTAACACATGCTTTGCTCCACTTTGTTGATGTAATTATTCTATCTTCTTTCTCCGCAATTATAGTTTTATTTGTTTTTGGATATCATCATTTGTTTTGTTTTTTTTTTTTAAATATTTATGAGAAAAAGTTTAGATGAGAAAAAGTTCTCTCTCCTTGAGATTTTAAGAGATTTGGAAAAAGTTAAACTTATGCACAATGTGAATCTACTTCTTATTAATTCAATCAACCTTGATGAGTTGTTTTGTTTTTAATGATAGTAGTTGTTATTACTAGTTTTTTAAGGTTAGATTTCCTTATCAATCTCGATTTAATGTGCGTTTGTTTTTGCAGTGAGTGTGCGTTTGGTTATGAGAAGAAAATGTGAAGAGAGAAAAATGTGAGAAAGAGTGTGAAAAGAGAGAAATATGAGAGAAATATATGTGATTGACAATGTGAATAAACTATTTTTTCATATCTAGAATATTTTCTTCAGACTTAATTCAAAACAATTCATACTCACGAGTCAATGTGTTCATCCTATCTTTTTTACATCGATTGTGTTAGTGCAAAAGGACTTTGGGTGGGGAAGGAATGAGAAAGAGAGGGAGAGAGATTGAGAGATAATGAAAAGTAATTGTACTGAAAGTTGTTAAAACTGAGTTACACTAATGTGTTTATATACAAGTAAGTTACTTGCACTTCAAGTAACTTACATGCTAACTAACTAACTAACTAACTAACTAACTAACTAACTAACTAATAATCCAAGTTATCACAACATACCCTATTATAATTCAAATTATCAAACACAAGTTAATCATAATCGATCTGAACTATTCCTAATTTCTTTTCAAAGTCAGTAATCTGTCGATCTTTAACCCTTTGGTGAAAATGTCGGCCAATTGTGCTTCACTTGAGCAACGCCTCATTTCAAGTTCACCTCGATTTACCTTCTCCTTAGAAAGTGAAATATAACTTTAACGTGCTTACTCCTTCCATGCAAAACTAGATTCTTTGCAAGATTGATGGTTAACTTGTTGTCAATATGCAACACTAGAGGTTTCTTTACTTCGGCCTCCATCTCATCTAGCACATATCTGATTCAGATTGCTTGAAAAACAACATATGATCCTTCTATATACTCAGCCTCACATGATGATAATGCCACCACATATTGCTTTCTCGAGCACCATGAGATTGGGCATCAAATACTTGAAAGAAATAATCATTTGTGCTTCTTCAATCTTCCTTATATCCACACCAATCAACATCTGAATAAAAATTAATCGCAACTTATTTGCTTTTAGAATCTCGTGGAAATAAGATTTCACAGTTTATTGATCCTTTTAGGTATCTCAAGAATCTTCTTGCAACCTTCATGCGTGACACATTTGGTTCATCCATGTATCTGTTTACCAATCCGATCAAAAAACCTATATCAGGTTTGCTATTGCACACACTCAGAGACCCTACAATTAATTTGAACAAAGTGACGTCGACCTTGCCCCCCTCTTCATGCTTCTCTTGTTTCAAATTAGGTTAGACAAGCAAGGATGAAGGATTCAAATCCTCCATCCTGAATCTCTTGAGTATCTTTTTGACATATTTTCTCTTATGCAACACCATACCTTGCTTAGTAGTTTGAAATTCCATGCTTATGAAATATGACAAGTTTCCCATATTCGACATTTTCAAATTTCCTTTTCATCAGCTCTTTAAACTTTGACAAGTTCTTCATACTATTTCCAGTTACTAGCAATTCATCCACATATGAAAAATGATGGTTATATCTCGTGCCATGACTTGTACATAGACACCATACTCAGACCTGTATTTGATGAACCCCAATTCGACGAATTATGAGTCGATCTTCTTGTAACATGCCTAGGTGCATGTTTGAGATAATATAGAGCTTTGTGCAACTTGTACACTTTCCTTGCTTCCTCCTGTATCACAAACCTATGAGGTTATGTGACATACACGAATTTATCTAGGGGACCATTCAAAAATGTTAATTTCACATCTAAGTGAAATGTCGACCAACTCTGCTTGCATGCCAAGGCTATCACCAATATGATAGTCTTCAATCTTTCTACTGGTGCATATACTTCATAGTAATTGAGAAATGATCTCTGAAGAAATCCTCAAGCTATTAATGTTTCCTTGTGTCTTGTAACTGACTCATCAGGATTGTGATATAGCTTGAACACCCACTCCACTTTGATATCTTTTGCGTTTGTTCGTAATTCGGCTAGCTCCCATGTATTATTTCTTTCAATAGCTTGTAACTTTTCAACCATAGCCACATTCTGTTGTTTATTATTTAAGACCTGACTATATTTGATTGGTTTAACACCTACAAGTAAAGAAAAATGAACAAAATTTCCATCTGATGTGACTTCATCATCACCAACCACTTCAGAGTCTTGAAGCCTTAATGGGAGAACTCTGGTTTTTTAAGGTATTTAGTTTGTGCTAGCCACACCCTTTCTATTGTCTGCTTCAACTTCAACTGTGATTGGATTGTCTGCTTCAACTTCAACTGTGATTGGAATGTCAATAACAAGAATTTCTTTATGCTCACTACTTTCTTCATCAATGTCATAGCTAATCAATGACTTGTTAGTTGCATCACCAGAATTCTAATCCCAGGCAGAGGTCTCATCAATCATAACGTCTCGACTCATCACGATCTTATTATTCATTGGATTGAATAACATGTATGTTCTAGTCTTATGATATCCTTCTAGAATCATAGGTTCACTCCTATCATCAAGCTTCCTTCTCCTAGCATCAGGAACACGCTTATAGAAAATAGAGCCAAACACCTTCAGATGACTCACTGATGGTCGTTTGCCACTCCATACTTCTTTAGGAACCTCGTTCTTCAAATTCTTAGTAGGGCACAAGTTCAAAATATAAACAAAAATAGTGAGTAAGGGTGGGAAAATGGGTCGGGCTCGCTTATTTAACCTACCATTTTGGCGCGGTGGAGCAAGGTTTTTGGTTCGGTGTCTTAAGTTGGGCCGCCCCTCCTAACCCACTTTTAAAATGGGACGAGGGCGGGGCGGGGCGAGTTTTGCCCACGGGCTTTTTGTTTGAAAAATTTATTTTTTTACTTGGAATCAAAATAATATTAACATGGTATGTAGTAAACATACTTTTAAAATAACCCTCATTTCATCAAACCCTAATATTCATTTTTCACATAACCACAAACGCCTCATTTTGAAGACATTAATTGGTCTCTGCTTTGTTCTTTATTTTCACTCGTAGTAGAAAAATCCTTTATTGCAAAACATAGAGAATGCATTCTTTTCTATTTTCTATTACTTGTTGTCATTGGAGTCGAGTTCTAAAGCTTTAAGGTTTTACACAAAGGGTTTGTTTCTCATTATGATAATAAAGTTTTGATTTTTCGGATTTTAGTGTGTTTGTTTTAAGTTTTTGATATTATAGTTATAATGTTTGTTTTGTTGAAGAATATGACATTTGCGTTAAGACTTGTTAAAGTTTTACTATGCATTGTTAAAATTTGTCGACCTCTTTTGTAATGATTAAATTTTTTGTAAATTATGTAGTAAATCAAATTGTAAAAAAAATGGCGGGTTAGTAAACGGGGCGAGCTTGACTTGTGAGCTCAGACGCCTAAGTTGAACCGCCCCGCCCACCCCGCTTTTGGACGGGCTTAAATGGGGTGGGCCTAAACGGGGCGGATCGCCCGCTTTTCCACCTCTAATAGTGGGTGCTTCTCCCCATAATGATTTTAGCAAGTTCTTCTACTTTAACATGTATCTAGCCATATCTAATATGGCCAGGTTTCTTCTTTCTTCTATTCCATTATGTTAAGGTGTGTAAGGTGCAGTTACCTCATGATGAATATCATGTTTTTCATAGAAATCTTCAAATATCTTAGATGTGTATTTACCACCTACATCTGTTCGCATAACCTTGATATTATTTTCACTTTGGTTTTCGACAAGCATTTGAATCTCTAAAACATTGGAAATACTTTGTCTTTACGCATGATCACATGGATCCAGAGCTTTTGACTGCACTCACCGACAAATGAGACAAAATACCTATTTCTACCAGTGGTATGATCCTCAAATGAGCCACATACATCTAAATATACTACTTCTAGTATGCAAGAGGATCTAATTGGCATATTCAAAATGAATGACTTTATGGATTGCTTTCCTACTAAGAAACCTTCACATAGTTTGTCGGGCATCACAAGACTTGGTATACCAGTTACCATATCTTAAGTAATTAGTTAATTGAGTGACCTAAAATTCAAATGGCTAAACCTCAAATGCCACAATCAACTATGCTTGTGGTCAACAACTATTTTTAGGCATTGTACCTTAGTCGAACTGATCATGATCATAATGTTCTATTCTTCGGCAACAGAGATTTTAAGACCAAATTATTATGGGTGTTGAAAAATTTAAAGGATTCATCTTTCATAACCATGAGAAACCTTTTTCGACCAGGTGTCGAACACTTAGCAGATTGCACTTCATTCTAGGTACATAGAGTACATCTTTGATCATATCTTTTGCTCAATTACTCTTTTGAATAACTATGTTGCCAATACTTTCTGCTTACAATGAGCTGTTATCTACAAGCCTAACCTTGCACTTTTTCGACTCGTCGAAATTTTCCAACCACACTCTTCCACCAGTCGTGTAATTCGAGCAACCTGTATTGAGGAACCAGGTCTTGGAGTCGACATGATCCTCTACAACTA